GCGGGGCGGGGGGGGGGGGGGGGGGGGGGGGGAGTCCTAGGCCAGCTCCCCAGACAGCACCAATTCAGGCCACAACTGGTTAACTCCTGGCTAGGCAGAGCAGACCCCGCCTGCCTGGACTGCAGGCTGACTGTCTTCACTCAGCGCTGTAATCGGCACATCTGCAGACAGGAAATCCTCCTTGCTGAGGTTCCCAGTCTATTATCTGAGACACCTGGTGTGGGCGGTGATTCAGAGACAAACAATGAGGGGCCCCTGCACAGCAATTTAACTGCTTTAACTGCTAATATGTTTAATCCACCCCTGGAGATCAGGCTGTGTGGAGGAAAAGGCCCTTCTGGGCTGCAGAGCGCAGCACCACTTTGCCATGGCTGCAGCCTGACGGTCCCCCCACCCCCAGCCCCAACTACAGACCATTGGCCTGGTCAGGTATAGGGTGCCGGGGGGCTTCTCCTGCCCATGGGTGTCATGGGGGCCTGGGAGAGCATCCATCCCTTTTATTAAATGTCCCTCAAAGTGCAGCTTGTTGGAACACAGTATCAGCTGCTTGGATGGAAAGCACCATGCACAGAGATGTCTGGGGGACCAGCCACGCAGCTGTGTGTTTTATTTTAACCTCCTGGAGCGCATCATCTTATAGCTAGCAGAAATAATGCTTCATTAAAGGCTTATCAGTGGGAGCTGCAGAAAACAGTCCCGTTGTTCAAGTGGGAAGTGGCTCCTGAATGTTTACAAAACCTGGCTCAGATGGGGGTGGTGAAGTCAGCACATGCCCGAGCGAGCCAGCGAGCGGAGCAGTGAGCGCCAGCCCCACCACCCAGAAGGCGTGCCAGAAACCACTGCCGCCACTGCCACAGCCCCGGGGAAGCAGGGTCAGAGGCCAAGGACTTCGAAAAGCTTCCAACCCCAGCATCAATCACTCCCTCGGTGTGTCTGGGGGATACTCTTTTTGAAAATAGAAAAAAGCCGAACAGACTCCCAGCAAGGGAGGGACAGAGGCTCTGCCTGACGAGGACCCCCTGGGAGTCAGGGGACCCAGGCTTTGCAAAGGCACAGACCCTACAGCATCAGGCATATGGTCAAGTGAGATGACAAGGAGGGGCAAGGTGATACATACACTCTGGTAGCCCAAGATGACTGCAAGTGAGAAGGGAGTTTGGGCTACATTGTGAGTTCAAATCAGCCTGGACTATGTAGTGAGGCCCTGTCTCAAAAAACAAAACAAACAAGCAAAAACAACAAAGGCAAGACAGGGTTCCATGTGTCCAAGGTAAAGAGAATTGGGGTGGGACAAGAAAAAGCTGTCTCCTTACCACCTATGAGTTTAAAATAAACCAGGCACTTTGGGGGTCTAAGATGTGACCTAGTCTTTTGCAGTGTTCATAATGAACTCATAAACTTTTGCAGTGTGACCAAGAACATGCTCTTTGGTGACAGGTCAGCTTGTGCTGGACCACTCAGATCCACGTTCACGCCCCTCTTCTGTGCCATCTGAACCATGGCTCCATCTCCTCTCATTCAGCATCACTGTTGATTTCCATGCATTTGAACAACTCAGGAAAAGTTTCTCTCCAGAAGCATATTGCTCTATAATGCAGCCCTGTTCCTTAGGAAGCCCATTCTGGGGGGCTATTGTGCCTTGGACAACCCCCTCTGGTGCACCCGGAGACCACCTGCCTCATTGAGATGGATCGAAAAGAGGTTTCTTGAGGGTGATCTGGTTTCTGAGCCCTGGCTCACACTAAGCAGACTCCAGAGACCCAGATGATCTTGGACAAATATGTAAGGTATGTTTCTACTGATCCAGGTATTCCTGTGTCAATGTGAACGTTCCTAAGGAAGCCAGGAAAACTAGAAACCCAAACTAAAAGGTGCTCACATTGAGTTGGGCAGGGAAGTTCACATGGGATGTCACCCTCATCAATAAGGACCCATGGTGCTCCAGCTCACTGTGGCCAGTATGCTGGTCTCCCAGCATGCCTGTGACATCTTGGATCTCTGTTCTCACCATAAGCCTCTGACTGAGCCTCCACAACCCTCACCACATAGACACAAGCCCTGTATGCATTCTTCCCTTGACTATACCTTCCTTCTCCCTAGGGGGGTTATACATCCAGCAAAGTCAGCGGCAGCTAGATCTGTACAGCCTCACCTACTAGGCCTTCATCCCCTGAAAAACTGGGCCTACCATCCATGGAAAGCAGAAGGATGAGAGCAAGGCTATATAGTGACAGCCAAAGCACACCTGCTGGGATGGAACCCCGGGCCTGGGACATGCTAGGCAAGCCTCTGTCAATGAACCACATCCTCTGGCCTGTATCAGCACAGCTAGCTTGTGGACATTTGTGTTCATTGCAATAGTACTGACAAAAGGTGAAAGTGGCCTGCATGTCCATCAACAGATGGATGGATAAACAAAATTGTTCAGTCTTAAAGAGGAAGGAAATCATGACACATGCTAGCACATGGGTAAACCTTGAGGACATTATGATAAGTGACTCAGGCTAGGAACAAAAAGACAAACACTGTATCCCGAGTCATCAAATTAAGATAGGAAGTGGAGTGGTGGGTGCTGGGGCAGGAGGAAGCTAACCTGCAGTAAATTAGGGGCTTTGCTCAGCAGACACATGGTGGTGACGGCTCTACAGCAGTGTGAATGCCCTTAAGGTCACAAAGCTGGGCACCAAGTAATTAACACAGAAAGTTTTAAGTCATATGTATGTACCATTTTTAAAACTTAAAAACACACCGTTGTGTTTTTCTGTGAAAACGCATGTATATGCAGATATGCATATGGATGTGTGTATGTGTGAAGGCCAGATGTTAAGTTCAGGGGCCATTCCTCAGAGGCTACCCTAATTGTTTTATTGAGGCATGGTGGGAGCTCAATGACCAGCCAGGCTGCCTAGTCAGCAAGGCCCCGGGATCCACCTGCTTCTGCCTTCCCAGATCTGGAATTACAAGTAGGCTCCACCAAACCCAGCTTTGTAACGTGGGTACTGGGAGCAAACGCATGCTTATGCAGCAAGTACTTACTGTGTCCATAGCTCTCTACGCATTGTGTTTATGAGGAAAAGCCAGATGTGATGGTGCATGCCCATCCAAGTAATCCCAGTACTTGGGTCGCAGGGGCAGGAGGATCAGTTCATCCTTTGCTACATATGGAGCTTGAGGTTATCCTGGGCTATGTGAGACACTGCCTCAAAGCGAGCAAACAAGAAACTAGCTTGAAATTATAATGTTATAAAGCAAACATCTAATTCACTCCGGATAGATCTATCAAGGTTTAAGCCCTATAAGAAATCTCTAGGATCTACTCTGACCTTATAAACAATCTATGAAGGGTTATGGGAGGCCTCACACACAGTTCCTGAATGATGACACCTGGTGACACCAGCAAATGTCTTCTTTGGTTTGCATTTCCAGAATAGCCCATGGCAATGGGAAAAGAAATAGCTAGAGGAATAGTGTGTTTGGGACAGCCAGGTGTAGGCACTGTGCCCGCAGGCTTTCACAGTAGCTTGCAAGGTGTACCACACAGCGGCCAGCCTGCTTGGGAGCCAGCAGAGTAGAGGAGCCAGGATGTGCAGGGAATGAAGGTGAAGAGCCCTGTTCCCAGGGAATTCAGTTCTGCTACTTTCCTTGAGCTAGAGACAGTGTATGTGTGACTCACCGCATCCTTACCTATGGCCCACAGGACAGTATCAAAGGTGCCTGTGTCCTCCTTGCCAGAGGCATGGTCCTCCCAGGTGACCTGCAGTTGACCAGTTGGGAGTTTTTGGATGAGGGAGGGGACACAGCCTTTCAGGAATCGGGTACCATGAGATTCCATGTGCTCTGTGACCAAAGATGACATTTGCTGCAAAGCACAAAAAGACACATGAAGACCAGGTCACTACTAGCAACGGGCACTGAGAAAGACCCTAGCCTTCTGCCTTGCTCTCAAATGCCTTGTAGGGCCACTGCAGGGTTCTGCCCAGAGAAGACAGTGGGGTGCCCACTACCCCCATCTCTGGGTCCCCTTGCTCTGTGATGCTGGAGGCCAAGCTACCTCCTGGCTCCCAATTCCCATATTCTGGGAGCACTGGTTAGGGCATATTTAGTTAAAGCCTCCTCTCTTGGTTATGGGATCTCTGCCCCAGTTCATCTAGCTAGCCTTTTACTTCCCACCCAGTCCCCACTGCCATCAGGAGTTGGGGGAGCTGACAAAAGACTCTGAGTCCCAGGAAATGCAGAAATAGTGGTGCAGGCCTAGACTGGGAGGTGGTGAATGTGTTGCAACCACCTTCTTGCCCACAGGGCCCAGTGTATCACCAGGTCTTGCTGTTCATATGCAACCCTACAGTTAACCCAGGCTGACAGCAGAGACTAGACACAGCTGCCTGGAGGGCATAAACAACCACCATTTAAATCCTGTGACACCTGCCTAGGTGAGGTGGTTCATGCAGGAACACATGTATGAGAAGCCCTTTTAGCAGGGACCATATCTCAATTTGTCCCAAACAAAGGAACTAAGCTTTTTAACACTCTATAATCCACCAAACGCCTGCTGGACTCAGTCATGCAAGTCTCTAAGGAGAACTATGGGGCCTGCTCAGTGCCCAGCAGACCCACTGCCACCCGGTCTGAGACTCCGGCCCTCTTCCCTGCAGGCCGCTTTACCTCTCCGGCCTCCTCTACGTCTGCTGCCAACATATCCCCTGGCAGCAGGAAACCCACAGGCTCCCCAGATGTTGTGTCCCTGTAGCAGGGCTTGGTATGTACACCCTGACGCACACACAACTACAGCTACATGGGATGGAAAGGTGTTTGTGGGGTAGGGTGATGGAAGCAGGGGTCATGAGACCATGAACCCAGTGCATTCCATGTCAGCTGACTTTGCCAGGCTTCTATAACCAGAGCTTAGCATGACCAAGGACTGGGTTATCTTTGGTAGAGGACATAGAATATTTGGCATCTCAGTGACAACCTCAAACTTGGATTTTAATGGGTGACTTATTTTGGGGGATAGGGCTTGAGATACTGCCCAGGATGGCCTCCACTCTTGGACTCAGATGAACCTCCTACTTAAGCCTCTCAAGTGTCAGGACACCTGGCTTTTAAGGAACTGTTTCTGAAAATCCAGGCCTCTCCCCTAGGCCACACCTACATGTGCTTGGGGCAGGGTAAGGTAGCCAGAAAAAAGTGTGGCATCATGGGAGGAGCAGAGCCCAGGTGGGAGAAAGGGCTCCTGGGCGTTACCTGGTCAAAGCCTCGGAGAGGGATGCTGCGCATCATGACGGTGGTATCCAGTCCAATCCCTGTGAGGAAGCCAGCACACTCTAGGGCCACATCTTCAGCAGCATGCTAAGGAACACTAACTGACTGTGAGTTAGGGAGCAGAGGGGCATAGAGCCTGGACCCTACTCCAATAGCCCAGGACCCCTGTCCGTGCTTAGTACCAGAAGACGCCTCTGCTGGAAGCTTCAGAGATCCCCAGACCACCGGTCTCAAGTGCATAGAGCTGCCAGCCCCAGCTTCAAGCCCTCCCAACAGCACCTACAGGTCAGACGGGTTTATGCCTCCTTAGGGCTTCCATCTGGCTTTGGTGTTTAGTCTCAGCCTCCAGGAGAAAGGGTGGAGATTCAGTGGAGAGCTGCTGGCCAGACCCACGGGAGAAGAGTCTTGTGGGTAGAGCCACAGAGCCACACTGCCTGTGGCCTGAGCTCCGATGCTCATCCTTGGGGCTTTCATCTTCCCTTTTACATCCTGTCCTGACCCTAAGCCTCTCAGGGCTTCCCCGCTTGACCCTTCCTGATCTGACTGCTTCTCCTGTAGGGATGAGGTCAGATCAGGGCTGCTCTCAAGGGAGAGGCCCATCACAGCCATCATGACTGCCTTGCAGCCCTCTCCAGCTGCTCCGGCTGGCTTAGTGTGAGGTTCAGGAAGCAGCAGCTTTCAAAGGTCAGCCTCAAACGATTCCCTGGGCCCAGACCCCCAACCCTATCAGGTCCAGTTGAGCCCCCACAAGAAAACAAGGTATCTCCTGGGAGGGAGAATGCTAAAGGGGTCATTCCTAAGGATGGCCATCTGCACTTCCGAAAAGGATACAACTGGCTCCAACCACCAACCTGCAGAAAAAAGCAGTGAAGAGCACACAAAGTGAGTACCAGCAAGGACACATGCTGTTGTCCCAAGACTGGGACAAAGGTGACAAAGATGGGCCCTGTAGCCTTCATGCCAGGTACTCATAAACCCATGACAGTTAAGGCTGACTGTTCAAACAGGTGGTGGCAAGGTATAGAGCCTGCTTCCTAAAAGCTACAGCTATGAAATACAACACAGCAAACAGCGCTATTGAACCAGCAAATTGCCTGGTGGTGAAGGGAGCACAGTCAGTGACAAATGACACCTGGCCTGTGAAAAGCATAGGCAGCACCAGGCTGGTGGACATGTTGAGAGATATCCCTCAGAAGCACAAGGCTTTCCTTCTGCCCACAGATGAGTCTTGTCTTAGGCCCCTCAGAACCCCTTGAGCCAGGATGGAAGCAGGGATGACCTGATAGGACACTGAGAGGATCAGAATGGGGAGGGGGGCTTATGGGAGACAGCTTCTGTGAGCAGAGCCCAGGCCTGTCTGTCCAGCCCCACAACACATGGAACCAACAGATCTCTCTCTCTCTCTCTCTCTCTCTCTCTCTCTCTCTCTCTCTCTCTCCTCCAGAGTACAAGACACTGTGACTCACTGGAAACAGTCATTTTAATCTTCTCTTGTGGCCAGCTCCACACAGCACATACATATGCATGCATTCACACATACATACACATTCAGGGGACACGCAAACATGGAAAGTCCTTTGCATGCACGCACACACTGTGAACACACTAGCACAGACAAGTGGTCACACACACCTGTCCACATCCTCTTATACGCACGCCAATGCATGAGCACACAGGCACATATGTGCACACTCATGCAAAAGGGCTGAGGAAGTAAGGGTTCCCAGCCAGGGTGGCTGCATGTGGGTGGGCTCGTCAGATCACCCCTTCAGTCTTTGAACAAGAGCAGGTGATGTAAGGATGGATAAGCCTGATGTCAGTACTAATCCTGGCAAGTACTAATGATATAATTCCATTTCAAAAAGCGGCGGATCCCTCGGAATACTTGTGCAGGTGCCCTGCGGGAACCATCTGGCGTGCGGCTTCTTCTGCACGGGAGCTGGGGACAGAGCCACACTGACTGGCTGAGGACAAGATGGCCCCAGCTGCTCATACAACCCCACTCAGCATGTGATGAATATGGACAGGGGCTCCTGGGATCCCAATGGAGCCAGCAGAACGGCGGTGCTTCCCAGGCCCCTTGTGAACTGGCAATGCCAAACAGACATGCACAGGAAGCAGGCGTGCATCTGCCTGCTGCAAGTGCCCACACAGGTGCAATGTGTTCAAAGAATAAAACCTAACCTGCAAACTCCCACACAGGTGCAATGTGTCCAAAGAATAAAACCTAACCTTTTTTGGATTGATGTACAGAGTGAGAGGTCTGAATTGTTTAAGCTATGAAACCTCAGTTACTTAAGAAGCAAGCAGAATTAAGCTGTTTTGATCATCCTTCCTCACCTGTAGGATGGACGGTAAAGTCTTCTGTGAGCGCCCAACAAGCAATACCTTTGCTCTCAGCTTCTTGAAGAGCATGCAGTACCCACCCCCAGCCTCCTAACAAGCTGTGGTGACCCAGCCTATCAGGACACCACTAGTGTAGTCCTTCTGCTGGTGACTGGGCCTTTCTACTTATCTCAAGCTCCCTTCAGATTCTCCCCAGACAGCTGGAGCCTCCAACCCCCACTTCTAGGTCCTCCTACCACATTGCTGAGCATGAAGCAAGCAGTCTCCAGAACCTGGTTCTTCTGTTTCTGCAGTCCATGTGTGCCTCCCAGCCTCCCACAAAGCAGGCTGGGTGTAGGAGATGGGTGGGCGGGCAGCCAGAGATCACCATCTGCTCCAGCAGAGCCCTGTGAGCACCAGGGACCTCCTTCTGAGGTGGCCCCACAACAGAAGGTGGGGAACCATTTCCCAGGTGCCCCTAGCCCTCAGGCCACCAACTCCAAATTGCCAACTCCAGAGCACTGACAGGGAAGAAAGACACCCACAGGCAGGCACATTCCTGGGGGTGGGGGAGTAGAGTGTGTGCACTGAAATCTCTACAAAGCTCACATCTTGCTTGAATGGACAGTGACTTTGGACCATTTATTCTATGAGCCATGTTGATAGCATTGTTTTTTTTTTTTTTTATTCCACCTCTCCCTCTAATTGACCAATTAATGGGAACATTTATTCTTTGAAAGAGGAACAAAAGAAGTCAGAGGACTAAAGTTCTAGGAATGGCCATACATGCCTGTAATCCCAGCACTTTGTAAGTGCAGGTAGGAAGATCATGAATTCAAGGCCAACTTGAGGTATACAAAGTCTGAAGTCAGCCTGGACCCTTGAGAAGAAAAGAGGAGGTGGAGGAAGAGAAGGAGGAGGAAGAGGAGGAATAGGAAGGAGGAAGAGGGGATGGAAGAGGAGGAAGAAGAAGAGGAGGAAGAGAAAGAGGAGGAGGAGATGGAACAAAAGTAGAGACAAAAATGAAGCTTCAAGTCAGTTCCCAGAGGCTGGCAGCTGTAGGCTGGTTTCTACTGGCCACACTCACCCAGGACCAGCTACAAAGGCATAGTAACCAGTGTAGCAGCAGCCAGCCACAGGGGACAGCAGTACTGGCAATCTGGAAGAAGGTTTGCCAGCCTGAGAGTTAACACTGTATTTAAAGACTCAGGCCAGATCTTTGTCTGCTCAACCAGAAGTCACCATCCTATACCCTAGTAGCCTTGAACCCAATCCCCCCACCCCTGTGTCCCCGAGTGTGTGTGTGTGTGTGTGTGTGTGTGTGTGTGTGTGTGTGTGGGGGGGGGTGATCTCTGTGCCTTTTACTGTGCCAACATTCTCCACGGATGCACAACTACCGTGAGATTAGTCTAATCACAGGGTGGCTTGCTTGTCAGAATTGAAAGCGAAGAGGAAGCAGAAACCAGGGCATTAAAACAGACCTGTGAAGCTAGGCTTTACAGAGTGTTCAGTCTTCCTCTCAGCCGGCAGGACCCTAATCCTCTCTCCAGGAGGCATACCCACACCACTGACAGTCTCACAGGAGCTCCTGGCTCCTTGGTAGTACTACCAGTCCAGGAAGTGCCAGTCAAAGCTGTAGAGCCACAGACACTCCAGGAAAGCAGCTCCAGAGAGGAGACACCACAAATCCCCCATCCTAGTGGAGCTGGCTCCAGATCTGCCTGGACCTGCCAGCAGCACCCAACCCTCTGGGGTCTGCCCCTGGGCCAAGCCCTAAATAATAGGAGCTACCCAAGGTCCTGACCCCACACAGGCTAACAAGCGGAAAAGCTGAGAATCAAGTCCCAGGCTGACAACTGCTCTCCCTTCGCCCCATCAGAGTTATCACGCAAAACAGACAGAAGCTGGGCAGAAAATGAGAATATTATATGGCCCTGACTTGAAGTGGTTCTTCTAAAATGTACTTTCTAACTCTTGTGCTTAGAATGGGAAAAAAATGGCCACTGTACCTTGGGCAGCTTCCCAACTTAGTAAGAGTCAAACCAATGCTACTTCCATGACCAACTCAGATGGTGGCATTAAATCAGTCCATTATAAAAATTCTCTAATCTGGCATGCTGACCCACACTTGTAGTCATAGCACTCAGGAAGATGAGGTAGGGTTGTCATGAAACTGAGGCTGGCTTGGATTACACAGTAGGCTCCAGACTAGCCTGCACTAGGAGACCCTGTCTCCTAACGCAAAACACTCTCAGCTTCATAGTGTCCAGAGATAGAAAGCCTCAGGTAGGCATGGGCACATGGGAGTAGACAGTCACAAACTGGCCTCCACCACCACCATTTCCAGGGCTAGTGTGTTGTGTAGCCAGGAGGTTTGAATGGGACTAACAGCAGAGGGAGAGGTTGGCCTCCAAGCTCTGTAAGCCTTTTCGGGACCAGAAGCAGTATGAAGGGGCAGCAAGAACAAGCATGTTGTGACTGTTAGCTGGGAACAGCAACTCAGTTCCGGGCTCAGGCCCAGTGTGGGAGAAGCTGCGGAGCCAGCTGTCACTCACTATTCTGGGTGTGCCAGCTCAGGGATCAGAAACAGTGACCCTAACAACAGCACCCACTGATTAGCCTGCTAGGGGCAAGGGGATGTGGAAGAGAGTGACTAGGGGACCCTGTCTCATGGTTTGGGTATCTAGAAATACAGAAGAGAGGTCAAGAATGCTGGGCCAGGTCAGCTGGAGGTCAGGCTTGAGAGTCTGTGGGGCACAGAGTCTTTCTGGAGGTATGGGGTGCAGGAAGACAGTCTGAGCTGCAGGGTTAGAGACAGGGCCAGCTCTTGCCACACCCTGTCCCTACACACTCAGTTCAGGCCCCTGAATCCCAATGCCAAGTCCCACTTCCCCAAAGCAGGGTTAAGGAGCAAGCTCACTTTTCTCACCATCCACATCCTTCCATTCACAGGGCCTTGCTTTATTAGTGGGACAGTTTCTCCACAGGGGACCAGCTACCTCCCATACCCTCGCCTTCCTCACTGGCAGTGGATACCTGTCCACAATGGCCCAAAGGAGCCCTGTATATTCTCTACCCCCTCCTCCTTTCTCCAGCCTGTTCTAGATTTTGGCAGTCAAAGAGCAATGGGAAAGGCCACCAAGCCCAGCACACACTGGTGGCTTGGTGGCCAAGACTGGGCAGGTGCCAACTTGCAGTCCTATCCTGGGCCCCATACTGCCCAACCTCAGCCCCTCTAAGACAGGACAAGGAGTCTGAGACCACCTCTGCAAGCTCATGCATTCTTTCTGTGAAGTTGCTAACACCCTGGGTTCTAGCCAGGAGCTTCATCTACAACAGCTGACAGGTGTGACCTTGCCTGGCCAGCACCCAGCTGCTGGGTGAAGGTGTCACTTAACCATGTCTCCTGTAGACAGGGCCAGACATAAGTGCCCCATCTTTGCCATCTGGCCAGCCCTGGGCTCTCTGAGACCCAGATGTCATCCAAGGAGGAAAGGGGCTCCTCACTTCATGCCCAGGGGCAAAGACAGTGGGAGGTAATCCTGGAAGCCCAGACAGCTATAGTTACCTCATGGGTGACTAGAGGCGTTAGTCACCACACCCCACATATATGCACTAGAAAATAAGTCCTGGCTGCTGCCTGTGCCCAGAAGGAAGGAAAGCTCTGAAATTCTGCTGATCCCACCAACGTTCTGGGGCCACGACCATACAGCCCTTCCTCAGCAAATACCAGTCAGCAGACAGTGCCCACTACAGGCCCAGGCCCAGAGGTGCCATGCGCCCTTGACTGCTGACCTGGCCTCCTGGATGAGCCATGTCAAAGTGTCACCCGGCTCTGGGAGGCACCCTGGGGCCATAGGGACAGCCCTGGGATCCATATTAATTTCAGCTCCATTTTAAAGGCGAGTTAAAATAAACACAGGGAATATTTATAAGGCAAATAAATCTAGCAGAAACAGCCCCTCCAAGTGTGAGCAGGGCCTCCCCCTCTGCCCCAGCCCAAGCTGATAAAATACAGAAATGCTACTGTAGACCCTCCAGGCTTATTTTGACTGCACGGAGGAATGTAACATGTAAACACTGCCTCCCCTGCTGCACTGTTACAACTTGCATTAACAGCCTGGACAAAGCCGCATTTTCACAGAAGCATCGTACAGGGATATATCTCCAGCTTAATTTTTTTTAAAAAAACCCATTTCCTCACATAAATCATGTTCAGAACTAAACGGGTGACTGATGCACCACAAACACTTTTTTTCTTAAACAATAACATACCTAGATTCCATCTACACGAAGGAGCTTAAAAAAAAAAAAAAAAAAAAAAACTGTTTTTTTTCTGAAGAAAATAAATACTGTAGTTTTGTTCCTGGCTAAACTATCTGAAGGCCGTATCTTTTCAGCTGAGCCAGCTGCCTCCAGCACAGTCACAGGGGAGAGGTCCCACTTCTGGGCTATCAGGGTTGGGGTGGGGGGACGATTTCTTGATGGGCTGCACTACATGCACAGCACTGGGTCAGTTTCCCAGAAACGGGTCTGACAAGAACTCAGAAAATTATGGCCTTTAGAGATAGGCCAGAACAATGGCTTGAGCCCAGAAAGGGGCTTCAGATAGACTAGAGACGCGGCAGGGCTGGCTTTCAGGGCCATTGTGGCTCCAGTGCTGTTCATGTTGGGTCCATCACAAAGAGCATTATGCGAAGACAGGAGAGTAAGAGCCACACAAAGAAGTCAGGGTGAAGGAAACAGAGGGAGTGACACAGACTTAGTGGCAATGCCCAGCAGCAGCACTGCTTGCAGACAGGCAGCAGGGGCCACGGTCAGCCAGCAGGCACCGCAGCAGCCCACCTCCACAGACAAGGACAACCAGGCCTAAGACATAAAAGAACATCCAGTCAAAGGTGACTAAGAACCAAAGCAAACCAAAAACCAAGCTGGGGGTGGGGCAGGCCCTTCTGAACATGTAATAAATCTAAAAGCCATTAAGAGCAAAGAGAGATTTAGGTTACATCTAAAAGGGAAAGAAACCATTTGTACATCTATAAGTTACGAAGAATCTTTATGGTATGCAACACAGGGCCATCTCTGATATTTGAACCAGCTGGAAGATAAGGAAGAGATGAGGGGTGGGGGACCCAGCCAGATACAAGGCCACGGTCCGCAAGGGTGATCCACACACAGACACTCTGAATTTCAAAGGAGGCTGTAAATACATGAAAAGATGATCCATGGAATCAGACTGTGTTCAATCTAGCAGACAGTCAAAGCTGGAGGAGCAGACAAAGGGCAGAGCTCAGCAGCACAGGGCTCTGGGTGCAAAGCCCTGGGAAGTCCAGACTCTTCACATCTAGGAATAATTACAACATAAAAGAAAATGATCATTTCTCTGACATAAAAATTAAAACCTTGGGTGGGAATGCTGACCAGTGGTAGAGCATTTGGCTAGGATATGTAAGGGCCTGGGTTTGAGCTCTAGCACTGCAAAAGGAAAAAAAAAAATAAGAATAAGAATTTGAGAGATAGGGGTAGTGGTACTATACACTTGGCAAGCTGAGGCAGGAGAATCACAAGTTTGAGGTCATCCTGGGCTGCATAGTGAGTTCCAGACCAGCTGGACTACATGGTGAGACTGCCTAAAAGAAAACTAAATAAATGCATAAATATTCAAAAAAGGCAAAAGACAAAAGGCAGGGGCTGGAGTGATGGCTTAGTGGTTTAAAGCACTTGTTGCTCTTGTGGAGGACTCAGGTTTGACCTCTAGTACCCACAGGGTGTCTAATAATTACCCATAACTCCAGTTCCAGGAGATCTGATGCCCTCTTCTAACTTCTATGGGTACCAGGTATGTATGTGCTATACATACATACATGCAGACAAAACACTCATATACATAAAATAAATATTTTTTATAATTTATTCTTATTTCATGTCATTTATGTTTTGACTGATGTATGGCTGTGTGAAGGTATCACAAACCCTGGAACTGAAGTTACAGACAGGTGTGAGCTTCTATGTGGGTAGTGTAAACCAAACCCAGGTCCACTGGAAGAGCAGCCAGTGCTCTAACTGCTGAGCCATCTCCCCAGCCCCTAATTTTTAAAATAATAACAACAAAAAGAGACAAAAGGCAAATCACAGTTTGGTAATCTAGCAGGAGACATCATGAATCAGTATGAACTCAGCGTTGGGGGGCAGGGGGGCTTCAGACAGCAACAATTGTAGTCACACATGGGAATGAGAAGACAGCCATTCCATTCTGTGTCTTACAAAAAAAGCTGACAATGCTCATGTCTGGGGGATAAGGAGGAAGCAGGCAGCAGTGCACAAGGGACAGGGTGCAGCTAGCCTGTCAGCAAAGGGTGCTGGCCCTTGGACCCAGTTTTTCTGCTTCTAGGAAAAGGTTTCCTTATAGGTGTATATAAACTAAGATCACTGCTGGTCACATGTGCAGGTGCAGCAGCACTGGACCCTGGTGTACAACCAATGGGAACACCATCACCAGTGGGAACACCGTCAGTGCGAACAACTCTAGTAGGAACACCACCAGTGGGAACACTGTCACCAGAGAGAACACCATTACCACTGGGAACACTGTCACCCTTGGGAACACTGTCACCAGTGGAAACACCGTCACCACTGGGAACACCGTCACCACTGAGAACACCATAGCCAGTGGGAACACCAATAGTGGGAACACCTGTCTTGATATTTTGATTGCATTCTGACAATAAAGTTTGTTTTGAATCAAAGAGCAGAGCTAGAAACTTGCTGACCAAAATTAACCATAGAGGCTCTGGAGGGCTGGGGAAGTAGTAAGGCAAGGCTTAGAGAGGATCTCAGCCCTTTTACATGGGGGAAGGGAAGAAGTAGGAGGTCATTGGTGGCTTCTCTGCAGCTTCTTTGACATCCAGGTTCTTACCTTAGTATCTGACTCCCAGTTTTTTATTGATAAAGAATAATTAAACGTTTCACCTGTCGTCCAACACCACCATTGGCAACATCACCACTGGGAACACCATCATTAGTGGGAAAACCATCACTACTGAGAACACCACGGCTGAGAACACCAGCAGCTGAACAAAGCATTGAGCTACTGAATGTGGTCCAATAGATAGCACAATAACCCATCAATTCCAACACCGTGTACAAGCTCAAGAGAGTGGAAGGCAGGACTGCGACATCCACGCACCGTCTTCACAGCAATGCAATTCACACTGTTCATCCATGGACCAGCAGACAAAGAAAACGTGAAATGTTGATGCATTATGATCAGCTGTAGAAAAGGAGGAAGGGGGGCTGGAGAGATGGCTCAGGGGTTGAGAGCACTGACTGTTCTTCCTGAGAATCCGGGTTCAATTCCCAGCACCCACATGGCAGCTCACAACTGTCTAAGTCCAAGATTGGACCTCACACATACATACATACAAGGCAAAAACAACAATGCACACAAGATAAAAATAAATAAAAAAATTTTAAAAACCCTGTCAAAAAAATGAACAATAAAAATGAAGGATGTGTCTGATATGCATGCTAATATATTAAAAAGAAAGAAAGAAAAGGAGGAAGGGTCAGATGGACAACCCCATGATCAGCACATGCTGCTGAGCCTGATGACTTGTACATGCACGCACACACGTGTGCGTGCCCATACACATACAAATAGAGCGATAAAAAGTTGGATTTTTTGCTTGTTTGTTTGCTTGTTTAAGGAAGAAGAAGCCAGGCATGGTGGAACATGCCTGTATTTCCACCCACTTTGTATAGACTGAAGGATCAGAAGTTCAAGATCATCCTTACCTACATTATAAGTTCAAAGCCAGACTAAGAATACGAGCCCCTGTCTCAAAAGAAAGAAGCTGGGCCAGCAAGCTGGATCAGCAGGTCAAGATAGGTGCTAACAACCAAGCTTAACAACTTGATCTTGACCTCTGGAATCCACAGGGTAGAAGAAGAAAATCAACTCCTGTAAACTGTCCCCTGACCTCTACATGCACATTCTGGCATGTGTGCAACCACACACCAAACAACAAAACAAACAATGTGGACCTGATGAAATGGCTCAGTGGGTAAAAACACTTGCTCTGCAAACCTAGAGACCAGCATTCAATATGAAGAATCCAAATAAAAGTGGATGGAGACAACCACATCCCAAGCCACCCTCTGATCTCCACATGTGCACTGTGGCAATCACACGCGTACATGAGCACACACATATACACACATATGCATACACATCACAAACACATCTATGTATAATAATAATTATTGTATTTATTTATTTAAAGGATCTTGACAGCCAGGCAGTGGTGGTGTACACCTTTAATCTCAGCACTCGGGAGTCAGAGGCAGGTGGATCTCTGTGAGTTTGAGGCTAGCCTGGTCTGTAGAGTGAGTTCCAGGACAGCCAAGGCTACACAGAGACCCTGTCTCAAAACAACAACAACAACAAAAACGAGCTTGGAGCTGGGAATATAGCTTCAAAGGTACAGTGCTTGCCAGGCATGAGTAAAGCCCTAGGTTCAATCCCAAACACCAGGAGTTTAGGGATAAAATTTGCACTCACTGAAATAAGTCCAGTGCATATATACATGCCACATCCTCATACCTATGGCGCCAACATGCACACAATATACACCTGCATATATGCACATATTTACATGCATACATGTGTGCATGCGTGTGTGTGCGTGTACACACACACACACACACACACACACACACACACAACACACACGTGCCTGCCCACCACTGGGGTACTTTTTTCTATTAGTATTTCTAGAGAAGGCATAAGGCAATGAAGAATTATCATCCATGCCTCTGTCACCCTCTTGTGGCCACTCTTGTCCCTGCAAGCAGGAAGCCTGCATCACACTGCATCCAGTATCTCGATCAGCTCTGGGCAGGCTAGTGCATTTGCACAGGTGCCTTGCACACGCTGCTTTTCTCACCTTCACACCTGGCCATAGCTTGGAGCATGCTCAGTGCACAAAGCAGACAGGAGATATGATCAAGAGAGACCCCCCCCCAGGGATCTGCTGCACCATGAGTTCAGGGGAATGCTACTGACCATCACTGCCCTGTACAACAGCTGACTCGCTCTCTGTAACACTCATGTGTCACCTTCAAGACATGGGGCACCAGGAGCCCTGCAAAGGGTTCTCCAAAGACTGCCTCTCCTTCTTTCAGAGAATGATCCCATGGCTCCAGTGGGAGCAGAAAGCAGATACAGCAGCACAACACACCCCAGGCCTTACGTTTTCCCAGGGGACTCCTTCAGCCAGAAGATATCATCACTTGTGACTCCATATTCCATGGCTCCTTTGATCTATGGAGGAAGAGAGAATTCATGTGGGGATGGAAGGTGACTCCACGCACACTCCCCCAAGCATGCACCCTACCCAGGAAGACAGGAGTGGCAGCTCCATCATTTTCACATTGATGAAGATCCAAGACACAGGCATGTAGAGTACAGTATAGACTAAAGACTCCCACAGGCATGCAGAGTGCAGTATAGACTGAAGACTCCCACAGGCATGCAGAGTACAGTATAGACTGAAGACTCCCACAGGCATGCAGAGTGCAGAGTAGACTGAAGACTCCCACAGGCATGCAGAGTGCAGAGTAGACTGAAGACTCCCACAGGCATGCAGAGTGCGGTATAGACTGAAGACTCTCACAGGCATGCAGAGTGCAGAGTAGACTGAAGACTCCCACAGGCATGCAGAGTGCAGAGTAGACTGAAGACTCCCACAGGCATGCAGAGATCTCATGGGTCCTGGTTTTAAAGGAAACCTCTGCAGTTTTTAGGTGATACTAAGCTAATTAAGTAGACTCCAGTGGCCACACATGACAAAAAGTAAATGCTCCACAAAACCAATTCCAAGAAGTGCCCAGCAATGAAAAAATCCCAGTGGGAGTTACCACATATATTCCTTGGAATATTCTGCTTTCACCAAAAGATCTGAGCTATGTGAGGTGATAAAAACTGCCTTCCAGATACAACTGCAGGGAGCAGATATGGTACAGTCTCTGGGAAACAAGCTAGTGGTCTCACAAAAGGGTAAGTTGAATGATCATGTGATCTGACTTCCATTGCTTTTGGTTTGGTCTGGTTGCTTGAGACAGGGTTTCTCTGTGTGCCATAGCCCTAGCTGTCCTGGAACTCACTCTGTAGACCAGGCTGGCCTCAAACCTACAGAAATCTGACTGCCTCTACCTCTGCCTCTGGAGTGCTGGGATTAAAGGCCACCACACCCAGCTCTAACTCCCAGTCTTAATAAATACCCAAGAGAAGTGAAAACAAACTCCATAAAAACCTTTTACAGGAGTACTCATGGCACATCATGGTTCATAACAGCTAAAAGGAGGAAGCAACTATGGTATTCACTAATGGAAGGCAGATAAACAAAAGGTGGTCTTTGGACAAAATGGAATATTATTCTGCCTTAAAAAGGGAGAATCTAATCTGTCTACGAGTGAACACTGAGCACATTATTCTGGCAAAATGAGCCATCAAAAGCACACAGATCAGATCATTTCTACAAGGCTCCTGGAGTCTAGAAACCAGCGGAGCCCCAGCAAAGCATCATCTGGGAACTTAGAAAAGGATCTAGAAATGGAAGGGAGCAGGAGAGAGTAACTCTACTAAAATCCATCGTGCCTCACAGAGAGAATTTTGGTAAATGTATTCTATTTCAAACTTTTAAAGTCTGGGAAAAGGAAGCTGAAGAATAAGACTGAAGTCCTGGAGGCCCCAGCATTTTGAAGTTAAAGAGAAAAGAGACTGACAATGGGGGCTTGGAAGAAGGACACAGGGCCAGGTGTGATGTCACACAATTGAGTCACAGTCACTCAGGAGGTGAGGTGGAGGGTCACTGGAACCCAGGCGTCTGGAGCCTGGACAACAGAGCTAAACACTATGGGAGAGAAGAGGGGGGACACTGGGGTGAAGGGACACAGGCCCCAGGAGCCTGCAGTGTGGAGGCATTGCTATATGGCAGGTCTCAAGATCCATTTCAGCAGAGTAGATTCTGGGAGGCCTGGAAATGGGAAAGGCAATTCACAGAGGAGTGAGAGTAGAGGACCCAGGCAAGGGCCACACATGTGTGGGGTACAAGTGAGCAAGCCACTCACTTGTGTGGGGTACCGCGGCCGCCCTCCTGTAGCGATGACTATGTGGTCAGCCGAAAGCAGAGTCTGAGGATAAACAGAGAACCGTGGGTCAAACAGCGCATGGTCAGCTGCCAGCAGGCTCAAACCTGTGGGTGGCTGGGACAGTGGTTCCTGTGTCCCCCTACTGTGCAGTGTGGATGCTTTGCCCATATCTCTTAAGTCTCAGAGCAGGGGTTTCACAATGTCCACCGAACAGGAGGGCCAGGCAGGAGGGGCAGTGAAGTGTTCTAGCTCCAAGCACTTCACAGTGTACAAGGCCTTTGCAAACACTATGCCTCCTCAGAGCCCTACAGACACTGCAGGAAGGGAGCGACTACCACCCTTGCCATCACCCACGCTGCAGGACAGCCAGCCACTGCATTTGAGCTGCTTAACACGGGGACTGTGAAGCTGCAAACTGATCTAACTCACACTAGGCAAGCCTTTGCCACTGCACTACATCCCTACTCTGTTTGAACTGTGTGTGTGTGTGTGTGTGTTTCTGTGTGTGCATGTTTCTATGTATGTGTCTGTGTCTGTGTGTGCGCCCATGTGTCTGTGTGCATGTGTCTGTGTATGCAGGAATGTGTGTGTGTATGTGTCTGTGTGTATGCATGCGTCTGTGTATATGTGTGCATGTGTCTGTGTATGCAGGAATGTGTGTGTGTATGTGTCTGTGTGTATGCATGTGTCTGTATATATGTGTGCATGTGTCTGTGTCTATGTGAGCATGTGTCTGTGTCTATGTGAGCATGTGTCTATGTATATATTTGCATGTGTCTGTGTCTATGTGAGCATGTGTCTGTGTCTATGTGAGCGTGTGTCTGTGTCTATGTGTGCATGTGTCTGTGTCTATGTGAGCATGTGTCTGGGACTATGTGAGCATGTGTCTGCGTCTATGTGTGCATGTGTCTGTGTCTATGTGTGCTTGGTGTCTATGTGTGCATGTGTCTGTATATATGTGAGCATGTGTCTGTGTCTATGTCTATATGTGCACGTGTCTGTGTCTATGTATGCATGTGTCTGTGTCTATGTGTGCATGTGTCTGTATATATGTGAGCATGTGTCTGTGTCTATGTGAGCATGTGTCTGTGTCTATATGTGCATGTGTCTGTGTCTATGTATGCATGTGTCTGTGTCTACGTGTGCATGTGTCTGTATCTGTGAGCATGTGTCTGTGTCTATGTATGCATGTGTCTGTGTCTACGTGTGCATGTGTCTGTATCTGTGAGCATGTGTCTGTGTCTATGTATGCATGTGTCTGTATATATGTTAGCATGTGTCTGTGTCTATGTGAGCATGTGTCTGTGTCTATATGTGCATGTGTCTGTGTCTATGTATGCATGTGTCTGTGTCTATGTGTGCATGTGTCTGTGTCTATGTGTGCATGTGTCTGTGTCTATGTGTGCATGTGTCTGTGTATCCAGGAATGTGTGTGTGTGTGAGTGTGTCTGTCTGCTCAGGAATGTGTGTCTGTATTGGGGAGACACACCACTAGGCAGTCTAGGACTCAAGATCCTATTTCTGCCTCCCTAGTGCTGGGATCTCAGGCTTGGCCACTCACTCTACTCAGCTGTGACCCATACACTAGCTCTGAAGAAGTGTGACCTCAAAGGCAGCTGTTAACACCAGAACACCACCCAGGCCAAACAAAGCTGGGATCAGGCACCAGAGGAGCCATGAGAGACAGGCCAATGGACACTTACCACCTTCCCACCTTTATCAACACCTTGAACCGTGTGTTCATTGACAAAGCTGGCTTTGATGTTAAAGTACTTGACTTTCCTGAAATATAAAAATAATATTTTATTGTCTTTTTATTTCATTTTTGTGAGACAGGGTATCGCGTATTCTAGGCTAGCCTCAAACCCACTATCTTAGTCTTTCTTTCTTCCTTTCTTTCTTTCTTTCTTTCTTTCTTTCTTTCTTTCTTTCTTTCTTTCTTTCTTTTAACTCACAGAGATCTGTCTGCCTCTGCCTCCCAAGTGCTGGGACTAAAGGGGTGCGCCACCACTGCCGGGCTTAGTTAGGGTTTCTATTGCTGTGAAAACACATGACCAAATGCAACTTGTGAAGGAAAGGGTTTCTGTTGCTTACACTTCACATCACTGTTCCTCACTGAAGGAAGTCAGGGCATGGATCCAGACAGCGAGGCAGCAGCTGACAGCACTATCCATGGACAGGTGCTGACTACCAGCTTGCTCAGCTTGCTCTCTTTTTTTTTTTGTTTTTTGAGATAGGGTTTCTCTATGTGCCTCTCGCTGTCCTGCAAATCACCACGTAGACAAGGCTGACCTCGAACTCATAGACACACCTGCCTCTGCCTCCCAAGTGCTGAGATGAAAGATGCTACGGCATCCTGCCCTTCAGACTGCTTCCTTATAGACCCCTGGGTCACCAGCTCTCAGGTACCACTCACAAAGGCCTGGGCCCTCACCCATCAATCAGTAATTTAAAAAAATGTCCTACAGGGTTGCCTACAGCCCAATCTTATGGAGATATTTTCTCATTGGAGGCTCCCTCCTCTCAGATGACTCTAGTTTGTGTCAAGTTGACATAAAACCAGCCAGCACATGCATTATGTAGCCAAGGATGACTTTGAACTCCCAATACGCCTGCCCCCACCTCCACGATACCAGGATTACAGGTGTGCACCACCACCTGTCTCTAAAATTAAGGCTCTTTAAGCATTTCCTCCGCAGACTTGGCCTCCAGGCTGCTTAAACAGACAGTGCACGCCGGCTGCTAGGAGGCAGACTCTGGAGCTGGGCACCATGCACACAAACAACAAATAAACACATGTGAAGGTTTTTTTAATAAAAGGAAAGAGAGAGAGAGAGGGAAACAGGAGCTCTGGCCCAGAGCCAGCTGCCTGTGGTCCCACTGGAACAAGTGTGAGTGGAAAACTACACTGAAAAGCAAGAGTCCCTTGCCTGTGACTCTGAATTCCCGGAGACAAGGTGACCACAGATGTCAAGACAGGGACAGAGCTATGATGGACACCATCCTGAGAGCCCCAAATTGTGACTGGCAGGGAAGGGAACCAGGCCTCCCAGAAGGAGGCTCCATGGGAAACTAAAGCATCTACATGTGTGTCACCTCAGTACTTAGAAGTTCCAAGATGCCAAGAAAGCAGGCACAGTGAGGGTGTGGCATGGTGTGGCAGGTATGACCCATCCTCCTGTGTGAAAGGCACCACAGAGGAAGTAACTATCAGTGTCCAGGTGCCTCTCCCTCGCCTCTCTAGGCTGTCTTTCACTCACCCTGACAATCAAGAAACAAACAGTCTTACAACAGACACATTATAACCATGCAGTGCTGGAGAGATGGCTCAGTGGTTAGGAGCACTGGCTGCTCTTCCAGAGGAGGGGGTTTGAGGTCCAGTACCCATATGGAGTCTTACAACAGAGACCAAACACCCTCTTCTGACCTCTGTAGGCAACAAGCACACAGATATACATGCAAGAAAACACACAGAGACACAGACGGACAGACAGACAGGCAGACAGGCAGACAGGCAGACAGGCAGACAGACAGACA